AATTTATTAATTACCCATTTTAATGAATTCGATTCATTTGATTGTAATAATCATCATAAATGTATTAATAATGATAAAAGATCATAACTTACAATAAAGATTTATTGGTTAATTGACCATTCATTCAATGATAGAATACCAGATATATATTATCAAAATATGAAAGAAAAGAAATGATATAATATAGATGTTGCAGTACATCAAGATAATAATCTAGAATTAAATTATATATACAAAATAAATAAATAAATACAAAGATTTAACAAGAAAATAAAATTACAAATAAATTTTTTCTCAATAACACCTGACAAATAATAATCATTAAAAATATGAAAGATTTAACGTTTTATATTTTCAGTTCCAGCAATAAAATCGAATAAGAATAATCTAATGCGAGCATGTTAGAAATGAACTTTATTATAACAATAGAACATATTGAAGAAACATAAAGAATCCTCAATACTCATAACACCAAATTGTTAATATATATTGTTTGATCTTTTATATTACTATTTTGTATAGGCATTTCATAATTTAACATTATGTTAAATTTCTTAATAAATAATATTCACCTTAATGAATTTGACATAATTTAAATGAAATTTTAATTGACTAATAATTAATTTATAATGAATTGTAAACAAATATAAATAGAGAAAAAGAAGAAGAATGAGAAATTAATAAACTCTTTATATTCATTTCTTTGTAGTTTTATAAATGAAGAATCACTATAAGAATAAAATAAAAATAATATAAAATTATAACAATAAAAAGAAGAAAACTACAATTTATTTCGTTTATAATAACTAAATTATTGTTAAGATTGAATATAATACACTTCCAAGCTACGGTTATACATTTTTTAAAGAATTATTAGATTTAAATTAAGTTATTAAATAGAACCGTCTATAAAAGGCATAAAAATAAATTAATTAAAGAACCTTCTTTTCCTTATTCTATTGTAGTTTTTAAACTACCTTTGGAATGAATAATTCTTTAATTTTATAAGCACTGACATATCATTTTAAAGGTTATTTAACACCAATACTTTCACTTTTAAGAAAAATAAAACAAAGATATTTACTTCAAACTTCTTGAGGATAGTTAGGGTTGAATGTGATAGTTGAGTTGGTAAATTTATAAAAGAATTTACAAAAAATTTCCAGAGTCGTCAGAACATAAAATCTTAAGACTCAAAAATTTGATAGAACAAAAAGTATTTCTTCAATAACTGTAAGATGAAAACTTCAAAAGAAATTCGATTCAAAAACACCAAGAATAACTGAGAAATAATAACTCCACACTCTAAAATAAGTCATTATTAATATTAATTTATTTAAAATTATATTCTTATTGAATTGACTTGTCAACCGAAAAAAGAAAAATACAAATCATCAAAACGTTTTGTCAACGTCACTTAGAAATAATCTGTGTTTTTAAAGTTGATCACAAACTATTTGTTTGTAAATAATAATGCAAAATATTACTATCAACGCACCAAGAAAGAGAATTTATCACAATATCCTTGAAACCATTGGAGGTACTCCTTTAGTTGAATTACATGGAGTAACAGATCACCCTTCTATTAATAAAAATACAAAAGTTCTTGTTAAGTTAGAATGTTTTAATCCAATGTCATCAGTTAAAGATCGTGTTGGATTTAATATTATTTATCAAGCCATTAAAGATGGAAGATTAAAACCAGGAATGGAAATTATTGAAGCTACTTCTGGAAATACAGGAATTGGACTATGTCAAGCTGGCGCTGTTTTTGGATATCCAGTGAATATTGTCATGCCATCAACAATGTCAGTTGAAAGACAAATGATTATGAAAGCATTTGGAGCTAATTTAGTTCTTTCAGATGGAACAAAAGGAATGCCAGGAGCTATTGCAAAATATGAAGAACTTATCAAACAACACCCAAATAAATATTTTCCAGCTAATCAATTTGGTAATCCTGATAATACTGCAGCTCATGTTTATACAGCAAATGAAATTTGGGAAGATACAAATGGAGAAGTTGATATTATTGTTTCTGCTGTTGGTACTGCAGGAACTGTTATAGGAGTTGGTGAGAATTTGAAGAAGAAGAAAAAAGGAGTTAAGGTTGTTGCTGTAGAACCAGAAGAATCAGCAGTTTTATCAGGAAAACCTAAAGGACCACATGGAATTCAAGGAATTGGAGCAGGATTTGTTACAGATATTTATAAGAAAGAAGTTGTTGATGAAATAACACCAATTAAAACACAAGATGCATGGAAAATGGCAAGAGCAGTAGTCAAATATGATGGAATTATGTGTGGAATGTCAAGTGGTGCAGCAATTTTAGCAGGATTAAAAGAAGCAGGAAAAGCAGAAAATGAAGGAAAAACAATCGTTATAATCTTACCAGATTGTGGTGAACGATATTTATCAACAGACTTATATAAAACAGTTGAAGAAGGAACAAAACAACAAGTATTAGACTCATTATTACTTTAAATAATTTGAATTATTTTTGAATTAATTAAAATATAAATGATTAATTTTCTTTTAACAAATAAAATCAATTAAGAAATTTAAAATAATGAATATTCAGTCATATCAACATCATTGTTTTCTTCATCACTTTGTACCCAACCAAGGAAATGTGTAATTCTATGAGCTTCATTATAAAATTCTAATGGAATACCAGCTTTAAGAGTATATTCAATATTAACAGTAAATTTAGAAGTAGATAATGAATAATTCCAACTTCCTTTTTCTGGAATTAAAAAGAATCCATTAATTTTTTCTGAAACAATAAGTGGTTGTTTTACTCCTAATTCTTCAGTACAATTATTTTGTAATGTAATTAGACTATCACTATTTTGTTTACCAAACTCTCTTCCAATTTCATTAAATGAATATCCTTCAATTCCAATTGCTCCTTCTCCAATACCAATACAAATACATTGTCCATCAATATTATAATGTTCTTGTATTAATGAATTCATTACAGCATCATATACTGTTAACTTAGGTTCACCAGAACAAGTATGAATCCATCCAATTGCTTTCATATTATGAAGTTCCTCATGTTGTGGAGAATGTTGAGCAAATACAATATATTTATTTGTGGCATATTGAGGAACTAAAACACAACATTGAACTTCCATAATTCCTTTATTTTTTGTACTTTCTTGACCAAATAAAATTCCACCAATTTCAATTTTGGTGTCTGCAATTTGAATAATTCCTTTAATAATATTTTTAGGAATAACAATAGGATTTCCTTCTCCTTCATTTTCAATAAATAAATTATTCATTTTGTCAAGTAATTTACTTGCTTCAATAGCTCTTTGTCTCCAATTTTGAGTTGCAGCAAATACTTTTTGTTCATAAGGTGTACTTGTTGTTACAGTCATAGTTTCTTGTAATTTATTTTGTGTTTTTGTTGTTACAGTAATTCCTTGTTGAATATTCTTTTCTCCTTCAATTTCTAAAACTTGTTGTCGTTCAGCAGAAGGTGCTTGAATATGCATTCCAAGAATAATATCTCTAACTTCATTTTGAGTTAAACTACTTGCACTGATATTATTCTTTTTGGCATATTCTCCAATAATTAAATCTTTTATTTTAATTTCAATTTCTTTCCATTCATCATCACTATATGTTGGCCATTGGTGTTGTGGTTTAATTGAAATAGTTGGATTTGGAAGAAGAATTTTTTTAGCTTTAACAGGATTTATTCCAAGTCCTCTTAATAATAATACAGCTCTATGAAATGCAGTATATGAACTAACAGTTTCTAACCAATCGTCATACATATTAAACATTAATAACATTGATTCAGTAGCTTTGTTAACAGCATCTTTAACTTTTTCCATTTGCATAATTTCACCAAATGGTAATGCTATTTCACTTCCTTTTAATAAAATATTTGGAAAATCAATCATATGAGTTTCTAATGGGTCTAACATTCCTCTTAATGATACAATAATTTGTTTAGGTTGTTCTTCAATTGGTAATGCTCGTACTAATTTAACAACCTCCTCTGCAGATTTCCAATGTTTTAATTGACCAATACGTTTTTGTCCTTCCCATTCTGATGAATGAATAATTTTTAAATGAACACCTCCAGTTCTTGGATTAAATATAAAGATACATCCATTTAATGGTTTAGTAATGTGATTTCCTTCAAATGTTTTATGAGTTGTAACTCGATAGATATTACTATGATCAACAAACCAAATAATTTGATTTGTAAATAATTCACCATAATTTGTTATAGATAATGATGGATTAGTTGGTTCACTAGAATATAATTGAAGTGCCTTTCTAATACGTTCTCTTAATACAAATAATGCAATATTACATTTAAGTATTTTAGCTAATGCTTTTTGTAATAAATCTTTCATTCCAGGAATCCAATTTCCATATGCAGAATATGTATTATAAGCTAAATCAAAAGCAATAATAACACCAGTTTGAGAAGGATATAAACAGTTATTATCATTTATATAACTTTCATATTTTTGTCTTGCATAACTTTCAATGTTATGTTGATCAAAATCACCCCAACGTAATTGTACATCAATCCAATATTTATTTGTATGAATTCCATTTAAGATATTTTTATTATCAGTTAACATTGAAGGTTTTCCAGTTTCCCATTCATTCATTCCAAATAATGTAATATCTGCACATGAAGAATTCATTTTATATGATTTTCTTGGATGAATTGTTTCTTTTTGAACTCTATCAACATCTAATTCATTACTTTCTTGGTCAAATACTTGACATAAATCCATAACAATACTTTCATGTATTTTTTGCCATAAATGTGCTCTAAATATTTGAATTAAACTAATTTTTAATGTTGGGATTTTTCCTTGCATAAATATTCCTGTTAAATCTAATTGCGTTTCAAATCCAACATATACACTTCCTCTATTTATTGTTGGTGACCACCATAAAGTAAATCTTCTATTTGGAATTTGATTTAATCCACTTCTTTGTGCATTAGTTAATTTTTTATATTTCATTGATTCTTCAAACCCACTTGATTTCTCCCAAAATAATCCTTCCCATGTAGGAAAGAATGTAGCTCTAAATAGTGTGTGTTCTAAAATTCCTTCTACTCCTCCTAAAGCCTGAATCATATCACTTCTATAATTATTAAGATTCCATAATTTTCCATCATGTCTTTGATGTGTCCACCAAAATGGATTTAATTTTTGAATTTGGTATCGTTTAAACTCTGTTCTAATACGCCATCCTTTATCATATGCTAACGTATGTTTGTCTTGTTGAAACAATGTATTAATTCTGGGAATTCCTTTATCCCAAGAATCCTCTAAATCTTCTAGTGTTAGTCTTCTATTTTCTTCAATAGCTTCTTTTCTTTTTTGTGCATATTCCATCCATACTCTTTGTGAATCTTTAAATTCTGTTTCCCATGGAAGAATATATCTAAATAAATTAGGAATTAATTGGTCTTCATCATGACTCATTCCAGCTCTAAATGCTTGAATACCAACATCAGTTTGTCTACTCCATTTAAAGTCTGATTGTGGAATTAAAACATGTCCCATAGAAAGCATTCCAAGTCCACCAAGTTCTTTTGGAGTATAAAATACAACTGGTGGAAATCTATTTGGCATTTTTGAATTTAATCCTATTTTAATTCTTGTTTGTATTTTATTTTCACATTTAACTAAAACATCAAGTAATTCTTGTGTATGAATAGTAGCTTCTCTAAAATACATCATTAATCCAATTAAAGCAGTATTCCATTTATTTACTACTCTTGTAAATGTAGTAGCACTTGACGACATTAAAATTTGTCTAATTCTATTATCAAATTTCATAATTTCTTCTTTACTTACTTTTAAATATGCATTTGCTGTTTTTTCCATTGTTTCATTATTCGTAAGTGCCCATGCATCTTCTTTAATGCTAAACTCTTCTTCTTGACTTCTACATTTTGGAAGAATACGAATCTCAAATCCACACATAGTAAATAAAACATTTGGATTATCTTTTGAATAAACTGTAACACATGAATCTTCCCAATTAAGAGTAGTTAATGAACGTGGTAATCTATTTTTTAACTCCCAAAACACAGCACGTCCTAAATTTACATCATGTCTCATTAATCTCATTCTACAATCTTTTGGCCAACACTTTTTATTATTATAATTTATTGAATTTTCATTATTTGGGTCTGGATGTTCTATTAATAATTTTTCTATTAATTCTTTACTTTCTTCTTCAGTAAATCTTAATACCATATAAAATTTATCAATATATCTTGTGTACATTCTAATTGGATGATGTTCTTCAATTTCTTTTGTTTTAAATGTTAAATAATCATTTGGCTGATTTGCAGTACCTGCAATTTCGAATGCTCTTCTTGGTCCAAGTAATAAAATATCTAAGATTAATCCATAATATTGAATAACAAAACTACTAAATGCTAATCCTTCTATTAACCCATAAGAATTTACATGCATCATATCTTTGTAAGCTAAAGTTATATTATTTTTTGCAGTAATATAATCTGCTAATAAAGGATCCATAATTAATCGTAATAATCTATTTAATAATGTTAAATCAACTTTCTTAAACATTTTATCATAGTTTGATTCCACAATAACATTACATTCTCCATTTTCAACATTCCATATATTCGTTAAATTATTCATTCCATTACAAAACTTATATACTAATAATGGTGCTGGTTCAGTATCTGATGGTTTAATCCAATTAGGGAATAAATGTCTTTTATCTCCTTCATACCATAAATATTGATCAAGATATGCATCTGCAATTTTTTCCATTGGGTCAAAATCATAATTTGGAATTAAATGAGTGTACATATCAACAAATTCAATTTTAACTTCTTTAAATGTTCTTTGAGTTAATAATTGTCTTTTAATTCTAAGTAAAAATTCATGTGGATTATCAAATGCTTGTTCAATTAATCCTAATTCTTCTCTTTGACTTTGATTAATTCTTGTTTTAGTACTAAATGATTCTTTTAAATTTTCTAATGCTAAAACAAGTAATTTAGTATCATATTTATAATTACTTGGTGGAAATGGAATTGGTTGAAATTGTTGATTTTCAAGCCATTGAACTGTAGTTGTTAATATAGCTACTCCTTCTTCACTTGTTAAATAAGGCCCATCTTTTAAATAGTTAAATTGCCTTTCTTGTTCTCCTTTTAACCATAACCTTGTTAGTCTTCCAAGATTTTTTTTACTAACTGTCTTATCTGCAGTACATCCTCTTTTAGTCCTTTCTCTAGTATAATGTGCAACATCTGTCCACCAATCGGCTTTCTTTTTTACATATCGTAGAATCATAGCTTCAATTGGTTCTGGTAATCCAGGAACTTTCCATGGAATATTTGCTTTCCAACATCTCCATGCTTCACTAAGATGTTGCATAATTGTTTTAGCTTTATTACTTTTAATTCCTTCAGGCATAATTTCGTTAATTTCATGTAATACAGC